GTAAATGGCAAAGGGGAATAACTCCTCTCAGTAGAATACAAATTAATAGAGCCCTGGCCTGGACCAGAACACTTGATCAAATGGTCCTGATGTTCAAAAATCTGGTAAAAATACCCTTCCTTATTAAAACTTTTACTTTTTTTTGCCTCTGATATGCCCAGGTGCAGAGAAGATTTTTAAAGCATTAATGCATTTTCACTATATAATAAAAAGAGCCCCGCCCTAACATCAGAACCTCTGATCCAGGGGTCATGAAATTCACAATTTTGGAAGAGGCATCCTTGCTTATCATAACCATGTATTTATTTAAATAATACCCAGGAGAAGAGAAGAAGATTTTTAAAGAAATAATGCACTTTCACTATATGATCTATATAGCCCTGCCTTAGCAGCAGAACCCCTGACCCTGGGGCTATGAATTTCACAATTCTGGTAGAGTCACCCTTGCTTATCATAACTATGCATTCAATTTGTTTCAAAAATACCCTGGAGTAGAGAAGAAGATTTTCAAAGAAATAATGCACTGTCACTATATGATCTATATAGCCCCGCCCTAGCACCAGAACCCCTGACCCTGGGGTCATGAATTTCACAATTCTGGTAGAGTCACCCTTGCTTATCATAACTATGTATTCAATTTGTTTCAATAATACCCAGGAGTAGAGAAGAAGATTTTCAAAGAAATAATGAACTTTCACTATATGATCTATATAGCCCCGCCCTAGCACCAGAACCCCTGACTCTGGGGTCATGAATTTCACAATTTTGGTAGAGTCACCCTTGCTTATCATAACTATGTATTCAATTTGTTTCAATAATACCCAGGAGTAGAGAAGAAGATTTTCAAAGAAATAATGCACTTTCACTATATGATCTATATAGCCCCACCCTAGCACCAGAACCCCTGACCCTGGGGCCATGAATTTCAAAATTTTGGTAGAGGGCTCAATGCTTATTACAATCATGCCAACAGTTTGACTGCTTGATGTCCAGGAGCAAAGAAGATTTTTAAAGATTGCATTAATTTTGATGGTTTTGGCCCCACCCCTCAGGCCCCTGGGGGGCAGGGGCCACGAATTTCACAAATTTTGTTCCCCTTCACCCATAGATGCTATATGCCAAAATTAGTTGAAATTGGTTTGCTGGTTCCAGAGAAGAAGCTGAAAATGTTCAAAAGTTTACGACCGATGACCGACGGACGAAAAGAGATAGCAATAGGTCACCTGAGTGACTCAGGTGACCTAAAAAGAGAAAAAAAAGACCCAAAAAAGATTCTGAAGGGAATTTAACACATTAATAATTTTCATACAGGTCTCTTGGTTACCATGATAACAGGGCTTCACATCATAATTTGCACTGAAACATATTAATAATCTCTAAAATTCTAACAAACGAAAAGATGATTAGAATCTAGCTATTTGATATGATTGCATGGAAAGGATCAAGGAGATATTTTTGATGAGACAGAAATCAGACAACCAGATGAATATATAAATATCTGTGGATACATACACTCAATTTACTTCATCCAAATTGTACTTTCCAAATATTAATGATGATTAAATGCTATAAAAAAAACCTGTGTAAATGTATATCAATTTTGAAATAAAATGTTCTATCAAAAATTCACTTTTTCTTTTCTGAACATTAAACAATTAATTAGAAAGAAAAGATCTCTTAAAAATTAATGTAATCTAGAGTAATCACAAAAAATCATGATTAAAAGATGGAAAAAGTAATCTACATGTCATCAATTGCTTAAAAAAAAAATAGATGTAATCCAACTGTACTACAGTGTACTACTTTTAAATAGCCTTCCTGGACCTGAAATTGAGACCATCAAAAATTTCGCCTCCCTATACTGCCATCTTGGGTGGCAAGACAATTCGGGGGTCAGAATTTAAAAAAATATCTACCTACACTACCTGAGGATGCTTTCATGCTTGGGTGAAAATTTTCAATGTTACACTCAACTACATGCAATATTTATTATATTATACTGAATGTTTTATACAAATACATATAACAGTGAACCTTGTGCTCCTAAATTCTGCGCAGTCACTATTTTTTGGAATATCACCCGTCGTCAAGCAATGTTGACTGTTGCTATGCTGGAGGGCATGGCTTCATTCAGCGGGTAATAGTGTTTTTTAAGGTGGTATGGGATACCAAACGAAACTTCTCCTACATATTTATGTACCCAAATTAGAAGGATTTGAAATACCACCACCTTTCAGTATATTAAAGTGTAATTTTAATAATTTTTTTATTATTTTAATGAGAAATACAAAAACGATTTTTTTTTCTTGCATAATTCTTTTTTCATAAGCTTAATATTATAGGCAGGCGTTTGCTAATATAAAGTGTTTATAAAAACAAAAATGACAAGAAATATGTCTTAGTATTTTTTTAATTTTCAACAAAAAATAACCGTAAAAAACTGGGAAAACTTTATTTCTTGAAAACAGACGGATAACATTTCATGAAAGTCTACAATAAGAATGTATCTTAATATGTTAGCAAAGTGAAATAAACAAATTGAAAATATACATATAAATGGAAAATATAAAATGCATTTAAAATTTTTTGAATTAAAAGATCCGAGCGGAAGAGTTATCCTTCTTTATTTTCCAAGGGTTGAAAAAACCTGGGTGCTATTTTAGAAATGATGAGCATTTTTTCCCAACCATAAAAAAATCGCACTTTGTAGTTTTCAACTTTGAGCGGTTTTGAAAACAATGCATGGACAATCGCTTTCCAGGACGTGTCTTGTTCAGAGCAATTGCATTCATCTGAACGTTTTGGGACTATATACAACAGCTAGCTGTTTTGTGACCAAACAGTTACTTCTTGAATTAAATAACAAAAAAGTACAGCTCTGGTTAACGTGATAATTGATTGGTGATAATTCAGCACAATGTGAAGTAATTGCACTTATCCATGCCTCACCGCACACAAGGTGCTGTACAGTTACTCAAACAATTGAAATACAGCTTTTGCTTAAAAGTGTTCAAAAGCAGCAATGTTGAAACTACCTTTTACAGGGGTTTGCTTTTTTAAATGTCCGTTGTACAATTATAAGTAAATTTATATACTTGCGATTTTTTTGTCTGTTTTTACTTAAAATGCCGACTTGTGAGAACTTGCATTGAAATAGGCTTCAGAGTGTTCTTTTCAACGGTGTATCTACAAATTTTGACCCGATAATAAGCACTCATGCAAATCAAAACAATACTTCAAACGGAAATACGTCATAACGTAGAGGTATCCCATACTACCTTAACAAATGTTTCTCGACGAATCAGATTCAACTAATTTATATGAAAGTATAATATTTTTAAATACTCCACAAAGCAATTTGTCAGGCACATAATCTGATGATATATCCCAAGCCTCATAATTGGCATGCTAATAATGGATTGTACGCAGTTGTGAATGGTCAAAAACAAGACTATTGAACATTGACATTCATGAAATATATTTACTAGTTTAATTTGATACTAATAATCATTCTTAACTTCCCTTAAAATAAAACTAAATGTTGATTATGTGTATTTATACTTATTAAAATTTGGATTTTATCTTTTTCTTTTCACTCTAGACTTAATTAAAGTCGGCACTGAGATCCTGAATTTAATTTCAATGACAAAGAACACCATACGTCATTGAAAGTCTACTGGAGAACTTGATAGTAAAGGCATGCGAGTAAACGGTTACTGAACATTGATTGATTAGACAACCCTCTCTTTTTTTTACTAGGATCTTTACGAAGCAAAAAATGGAATACAGTGGAGCCTCATTTATCCAGACGCTCTGGTTCCCAGTCAATTTGTCCGGATATGTGAAGCATCCGGATACCTGAATTGCCTTGATTTTAGTTATATGGCCTTTCATACCATTGGCAATAGAATGCTGCTTTATATCATTAAGTTTTATTGTTTAAATAGTTTAATATATGTAAGTACTACTCAATACCTGTTTAAATAAAATAAAAAAGTAAATTGTCATTGGATGAAACATTATTTATATGAAAACCTTAATTATTTCTACTTCCCAGTGTCTTATAAATCAACTTCTCCCAGCCAAGAGTCCGAGAGCTGGTGGAGAGAAAAAAATCTTTCGATGTCTCTGTTCTTATTTGATATTCATAATCATCCCAAGTGAGATCGTATTAACGATTTTTAATAATGAAAGGGATTTTATAAATGTCATCAAATCACAATCCGTGTTGCACACAAAATACTGTGCATAAAAAATACCCCCGATGTCATGTCTATAAATAGCAATACATAAAACCATGTTACGACTGTATTCTAACTATTTGCCGACTACAAAAAAAAATATGGACATAAATAAAAAGCATTTCCCTTAATTAATACGTATCAAATACATGATAGAGATGCGAGAGTCTCGTGCGTACCCATCAGCCTATAATTAATCCTGCCGCAAGCCAGTGATAACAGGTCACAGGTAACCATTTTTTTTAAAACAAACGGCCAAGCCAGTGTTTTTACAACAATTAACATCCAGATCTAGAAATTTGAGTAGAGTTGACTGACCAATTAAAAAATTACCGTCCGGATAAATGAACCAAAATATAACGTAAAAATTCATTTTGTGGTGAAAAAAGACCGTCCGGATACGGAACGCGGAATTCCGGTTAAACGAGACAAAATAACGTTAAAAATTTCCGTTCCCATGAAAAATCGTCCGGAAACTGAAGCGTCCGCATATCTGGCGTCCGGATATCTGAGGGTCCACTGTACTGTAAAAGCAGAAATATTCGTTAGGGATTCAATTTCGTTTATCTCGTTGTTAACAATTACAAAATTAAATCCCACATGAATTTTATATATGACTATATATTGTGTAGTGTACTTTCAAAACAACGAAATTTAATGCTGACGAAACCTTTATAGATGACAAATCAACGAAATTTTATCCCCACAAAAATTTGTGCTTCTACAGTAATTACAAACTTCACAGAACTGTTTCCCTACCTGTTTCTGTTCATATTTGAGTGCCAGCTTGAGTCTGGACAGAGTGAGCTTTTCTGGGAGAGGAGCACAGTTTCCTTCTTCTTCCTCCTCCTCTTCTTCCGTGTCAGAGCACCTGTTCAAAACAGCGGTCACTTCTTCACTGCTCCGACACTGGTCCATCAGATCACATGCATACTTCTTACATTGGTCACTAAGCTGAATGTAGGTGTCTTTGAATTCATTCTCTGTCAGGGCTAGCTTCTGTAGTTCCCAGGATAGCTTGAAGGCCGTGAGAATGGGGTCGGGGCTGGTGAGAGAGATCCAGGCAGGGCTGGCCAGAGCTTTATAAGAATTGATGCGGAACAGAGAATGTCTGAGACTATCCTCGTTGACCTGTTCCTGGCATTCCTGACAGGAGCACGACAACATGTGGGGGAATTTGATGTTGGCTCCTCTAAGAAGAATTAGTTGGAGAATCTCAAACTGATTACAGTGGGCTGCCAGGATTATGGGTGAAATATCGGAGGAGTAATCCGAACTTTCCTCACCTCGCCTCTGAGACTTTGACCAGTCAGGTCCAAGCATTTCTAAAGTGATACTTGGATGATCAATCAGCATTTCTACAATTTTGTACACCCCTTCTGTGATTGCATATAATAGGGCATCCCCAATCTTAACCCCTTCCTGCTTCAGAAGAATTTCTACAAGTTCCACATTTTCATTGTCTACTGCAATTTGAATAGCTGAGCGTCCAAGCATGTTGGTACAGTTTACATTAACTGGATACGGGTCTTGTAGACATCTTATGACAGTGGGTTTATCTCCCCTTTCCACAGCCTCCAAGAAGACTCTCTCTTGAGTGGTGTTCATCTGAGATCGTTTGAGTGGCTCTAATGGCATGGTGATTGGATTTCTCGACTGGTAGTACCTGAAGTTGGGCTGATCACCATTCAACATGTCCTACATACACCTACCTGTGAATGCAAAACAATGATCAGTGAATGTTTCTCACTCAATGTAATGAGCATCATTTTAACACTGTATTGACTAGGACCTGCTAATATTATCAGCATCACTTGATTTATCATATTCTCTTGCAAGACAAATTGACAAACCTGTTTTCTTTCCTTGTCATGTCCATGTTTCAATTGTTCATTCATGACCAATTGTGCACAATGTATTGGATAAATAAATCCTATTACCAGAGGCCAATAAAACTATTATAAAGCTAATGATATTTTCTTCCCATGTAGAAAAATTTACATTTTCTACCGTCCATGCAAAATACCACTTTCTCTCACCAATGGAACCATTGTGTAGTTAGCTACTGCACTGTTACTTAGATATGTAGTCCGATTGTTTTATGGAAACCTTACACCTCCTAATCTTTATAGGTAATTGGAAGTAAACAACATCACCAAATATAACTTATGTGACAGGCACTAAGTATTCTGATAATATTATATAATACAAGTACTTGTCTCGGATACCTTAATCCTTTCTTAGACGTGACTTGCCTTTCTAAGAAACAACAACATCTTACTCATGAGTTATATACCTCATCTGTGAGAATCCTCAGAAGCATTTCATATTACCATGGTAAGAGACAAAGGCAGTATTCTGATGTACAGAGAGAATAAGCGGCTTCCAATTATCAATGTAAGATCTTTAAATACCATATTTAATCAATATACATTTGATTTTCAAACCCTGCTCCTAGACAATAAGTCATATTTAATTGACAGATCTACAATATGTAACATAAGACTTATAGGTAAATGACAGGTATGAAACTTCTTGTTTCTCCACAAACATATTGCACAACATGAAACAAATACAGAATTATTGGCTCGACAGATCAACAAAATACTAAATTGCAATTAAAAATCAAGGAGATGCAATTCTTGTGACAATATGGATCAGGCAAAAAGAAACTTTTTATGCTTAACAGTAAACAACGTTGTTAATATATGACAACATTCAGCACAATACGCCCAAACAGTTACTGTAACAGCTAGACTCGCTTTCTCTGATTAACAAAACATTCAAATCTCTAAATAGATTGAAAATTCTTAAATCTTTATTATACAGTCCTCATAAAATATATATACAAGGAAAAACGAGATGTGAGGGAATTATGGATGATAGATGATGATCATACATGTCACAGACTAGACACAAAGCCTCTTTAAGCTAAGTATCTTACAACACATTATGGTCTGAAGCTTTCACAGAGTTATATGAAGCTCAACAAAAGGTGTAATCATGATAAAATTTTTTAAAAATAATTTTATCTCAATATTGTAATTTGTCACAGCAGGAGCTGAAGTATGTTTGAATTAAACCCAGGTACCTGAAAGGGCTTATATATCAAAAGAATAAAAAAGGGGGGGGGGGGGGACAGAACATAATCAGAACTGTCAACACACTACTGACATACTAATAATAATTTCCTAATATTCCCCTGTCAGACATCAGAGACCAAGTGAAATGTTGTTGGACTAAGAGCTCAAAAAATTGTAAATCTGGTGCTACCTTTGAACAACCATATATATAATATATATATATATATATATATATATATATATATATATATATATATATAGTGATGCCGGGGTTCTGGGTTCAATTCCCTATCCATCCGTACATATTTCTCCTTTCCTGCAACACCATTTGGTGCTTGACCACCCATGGACTTGTAGGTGAAAATCCTGCCGGGCCTAAAGTATCTGGGCTGTGTGTCTTTGAGGGCAGATACAATTTAAGGAGGGAGGAATGCAATGGTTAAGTGGCTGTGATACTGGCCTGGGTAGCTCTGTGCTTAAAGCACTTGACAAGTGATGCAGGGATCCTGGCTTGAAAATTATATACATATAATGAGAACTCACTAGAAATGTGGTATCAAACACTAAATAATTGAATCTTAAAAAGAGTGAAAATCTGAATGTTTATCATTCAATATGATCTACCCGGTATATGAAATGTGATATAGGTTCATAATTATCATTCAATTAACCGTTCAATGATTACAAAAATGTTAGAAAAACCAGCTTACCTCCATTCATAATATAAAATCACCAAATGTAATATCCTATACTGAAACTATGACATTGTGGTTCATGCTCTATTGTCTGGCTAATTCATTACTTCACTTATCAGTGAAAATATTTGTAAATAGTCACTGTCAAAACAGCTCATTTATAAACTTATTTCAGATTCCGAGTTAGAATAGGTGAGATAGAGTGCCACAGATTAATCTATATAGGTAATGCAGGACACACCCAAAAGCAGATTTTTATTCATCCAAATGAACATGGTAAAATAATAACTATTGGATAAGAGCAAATCAGTCTTATTTGTTTGTCTTTGTGACCATTCAAAATCACATCTTCATTTACAACTTGAGTTTGAATATTGAGATATCTCTTTCTTTTCAAGTACATCATGTATAGTTATCTCCAGATATATTACATCTTGTTCAAATATTCCAACTTCTATTAAGTCAATTATCAAGTGCTCCTAAAAGAGGTAACAATTTCATAAATCTTAATTTGTGCTACAATATTCCATAGAAATTTATGGCAATATAAATGGATACAATTAACATTAGACTAAAAAGTGAAATTGAAAAAAAAGTATACTCACTGGAACCCTGTTCTGCTGATGATGATGCTATTTACAGGAAAGTGACCATGTCTGACATTGAGTTCTGCAGGAGATGGCCCCCCTCCGTCTTCCTCTACATCAGCATGTTATAAGGAGTTAGGAGAAAATCAATACACACTCGAGGCTGTGAACAACAAGCTCTCAGCAACTTAGCATCCTATAGTCCTTACCGTTAACATGGCACCTTACATCAGCAATAAGTCAAATTTTGTAAAATTAATGATATTTGTTACTTCACATTTCCTAAAAAAGTTTTATTTTAAAAATACATATACACTGTTTTGGTAAAACAAAACATTAAGGACCCTGTGTGCACTAAAGAAAAATGTTTTTTTTTTAGAAACTGAGAAAATTATATCATACAAAAGTGTAAACATTTGAGTTTTATATTTCATCTTTAATATAGTGTATCAGCAATTTACTCTTTGGAAATATGTTCAAATACAATGTGGTATTCATGAAAATTCCCTCTTGCTTACATACATGTTGAAAATACATGCTAATAAACTGATCTATTAATTTATCTTTGCTTAACAGTTTTTAAAAACTTAATTGAATTGATTACAACTTGAATAATAGTACACTGTTGATTTCATTTTGTGTCAAAGAGCAGATTACTCTAACTGCATGAAAAATCATGGAATGAGAACTCTTTAGTGTTCAGTGAATAGGATCCTCCTTAATTTGCAGTATATAGAGGGTCCTTAAATAGAATTTAGTATTTTAATTTTATTATTATTTTTTCTTCATTTTATTTTTTTGTAGAGATGTCAACAAACTTTCGAATATTCTTTGATACCATCAGCATTCAACTATATTTTCTTTTTTATTCAAATACTTTTTGCCCATTTTAATGATTTTTTACTGACTATTACAGGTATAGTCGATAAAATGATAGGCATACCAGTAATTTATCCCTTTTTCCAAATGAGAGTTATTCTTCACACATTTTTTATTGTGATTTACACAGTAAAAATATAAAAATGTACTTTGTGCTAATCTGTACTATTTATTTTCAGAACAGCTTTCAATATATATGTTTTACAATTTAACAATGGTGTCCAGTGATTTTTTGTGAAGTTTATCAAAAGCAAATAAAAGCATTTGTTCTTCCTGAACAAAACATTGCAAGTTACAAGTATTTTTTTTTTGTTGTTCAAATGGAGAAAGATATATTAACATGATGTGTGTTGTGAAACACTGATGCCCCAATATGGCAGCTCATGGCAAAGGTTAAAGATTCTCAAATGCAAGTCAAACTCCAAGGTCAAGAGATAAAAAATAATGTTATCCAAAGAAACTTCTTGTCACATGAAATACACCAGCAAAATATGAATGTCCTAGCACCAATCAATAGAAAGTTATGACCAAAGAAAAAATTTATCAAAACCTTGTCAAACTTTAAGGTCAAGGTCAAAGGGTCAAAATCAATGGTACCCAAGGGAAGGTCTTGTCACAAGGAAAATATGTGAAATATGAAGCCCTAGCACCAACCATTCAAAAGTTATGGCCTTTTCAAAAGTAGGTCAAATACCAAGGTCAAAGATAAACAGTCAAATCTGTCCATACCCAAGGGAAGTCTTGTCACAAGAAATACAAATGTGAAATACTAAACCCCTAGCACCAACCATTCAAAAGTTATGACCAAGATTAAAGTTTTTCAAAAGTAGGTCAAACTCAAAAGTCAAGGTTAAACGGTAAAAATTGTTGGTACCCAAGGGAAGGTCTTGTCTCAAGGAATACACAGGTGAAATATGAAAATCGCTAGCGCCAACTGTTCAAAAGTTATGGCCAAGGTTATAAAGTTTTTCAAAAGTAGTTCAAACTCAAAGGTCAAGGTCAAAAAATAAAAATTGTTAGTACCCAAAAGAAGGTCTAGATCTTGTCACATTGAATAAACCTGTGAAATATGAAAGCCCTAGTAGTAATTGTTCAAAAGTTATGGTAAAGGTTAAATTTTTTTCAAAAGTAAATCAAACTAAAAGTTCAAGGTCAAAGGGTCAAAAATGTACAAAAGGGAAAATATTGCTACATGGAATACACTTGTGAAATATGAAAGCTCTAGCAACAACTGTTCAATAGTTTTTGCTAAGGTCAATTTTTTTCAAAAGTGGATCAATAAATCGAGGTCAAGATCAAAATTTTTAGTACATGTACCACAGGGAAGGTCTTGTCATAAGAAATATCTACCTTTATTATGAAAGCCATAGCTCCAATTAACCAAAAGTTATGGCCAAGGATAAAGATTTTTAAAAGTGGGGCAAATGCAAGGATCAAGTTCAAAGGGTTAAAATTGTTGGTACACA